GGAGGTTGGGAGGGAAGCGCGAGGGGTCAGGAGGGCATCCGAGGGGCCAGGCCAGGACATAAAATGATGCCTCTCAGACTTTAGCCACTGCTGGCGTCCCTTTGATTAAGGCTACACTCATGTACCAACTACCACAGGTCCTACTATGCCCCTAATGGTTTCTTTTAAATCAAGTCACTCTTATTCCCTAACTCCATTCTTAGCAATATAGTCATGAAATCAGGTATTCTATTTTTCTAATATACATGAAAATAACTGCATATTTTTAAAAAATGTTTATTCATATGCCACCTAAAAGAACACTATGAAACCCTCTTAGCTCTTCAGACTATACAAAGGTAGCACTGCCCCAGCACCCCCAAAGTGATTTGGACATGCCCCTCATCGCCCCCTGCTGGCAAGATCTGTTCAGGTGGCCTTACCCCTTCCAGATGGTAAGCACCCTGGAGGCAAGAACTAAGATCTCCCCAGGGCTAGGGCAGAGGATGGGCCTTCAATAAGTCACGTGTGACTGTTCCACCCCTCGCCTCTGGGTGGCGCCGGGTGAGAAGAGAGAGGTCCCTTGGTCCCAAGGAGGGACCTGCAATCTCCTGCTTATGAGGGGCGTCCTCTCAGCTCCAGCTCTGCCCCCAATTCAAATACACACCAGCACCAACTCCTCACTCACCTGACCTTCCAACCAGTCACCGTTTATCCTGCCCAGCCCAGCATAGGGAGAGCAGTGGGGGATCAGAGAGGCCGAAACACTGTCTCTGCTCTCAAAGAACTGAAACTTGTGGGAGAGCAAGTAGAATAAGTGAGCTGGTTGGGGTAGGGTGGAGAGAAGAGGGCTTGGGAAGACAGAGAGCCCACAAGTGACAATCCAACGTCTGCCCCAGAACCTGCCCCGTGGTGACGCTGCAGGCCCAGGAGATGCCGGCCAAGGATGCAGACAATGCACCCAGATGCCCCATCTCATCCTCAGTGCCCCTTCCTTCCGATTACAACCCCACCCTTCTCCTTTCCACCCCTGTATCCCCTACTCCAAGCACCTCCCCAAACAAGCTTGCTTCTCTACTTTCTCAGCCTAAGAAGAAAGCTGCCCCCCTACATTACTCTAAAGGTGCCCCCTACCACTCGCCTTCCTGCCCTCAGAATGCCCCTTGTTCCCCATCCTCCACGCTATTCATAGCTGTGGTGCGGGTGGGCAGCTCACAGGCCATTCCTGGAACAGGTGTGGGGGATCGGGTGACTGACAGATGAGCCAGACAGCCGTAGCCTGGGTGTGGGGGCTGGAGGGGCTCAGATTCATTGTCATGTGCTGGTATGTGCCTGGGAGAAATGTCAGGGACCAGAAGGGAACAGCAGCCAGTCCGGCGTACTCTCCTTCCTTCATGGCCTCAGCTCAGCTCTGCCCAGCATTTTCAATTTGCAGACAGGCATTAACGGCCATCAGTGTCCATGAGTCCCCTCTCTCCCCACCCCAAGAACAGAGGTGGCCTCTGCTAGTCTCATATGTTCTGGGGAAGAGGGGAGGTCTCAGCTTCTCAGACCTGCTCCAAAACCCACCGTATGAATCCAACAGAGCACAGCTCACAACTCAACCCCTCCTGCACACTCAGGCCCCTCCCAGCCGGGAACAATTTGTACTGGCAGCCCACTGAGCTACTGCTGCCACTCCTTCCCTAAGAGCAGGACTTTCAGTGGGAGGTAGGTTGGGGACATCAAAGTCCTCCTCTCACTCCAGCGGGGCTCTGATCTCCCCAGCATGCCTGCACAGGCCTGGGCGGAGTGGAATACTGCCAGGCAGAAGAAGAAAGGAAGACTTCAGGAGAAGGGCACTGTTTCGTTGCCTTTGCCATTGCCCGTGGCCAGTCTCACACCAGCTGATGGCTGAGCAGGAAGTGGGCAGGCCAGGGCCCAGGAGATGAGGGTCCAGATGTCTGCAGACGCCAAGCTGCCTGTGAGGACCCCATGGTTGACCAAAAGTCTCTTGGTTTGCGAACAGGAGCAATTCTTTCCCCACATTTGCACTTTCCTGGTGCCTCTACCTTCCCCAAGCAAGAGGAAGGGGAAAGAGGAGATGCCCACCAAGATGTAGTAGCGACTGACATGCCCCCATCTCTGATTTCTCCTGTCCTCATGCTGCCCAAGCCTCTGGCCTTCAGAGATAGCCCGGCTCAGGCACAGGGCTGGAGGAGGCAGGCATACTGCCTCCCTTCACTGCTGGCTGACATTTCGCCTCCTCCCACTCCCCTCCCTCTAGGTCCTCAGAGACACAGCCTGGAGCAAGCCCTCAAAAATGAACTGCTCGTTTTTCGGATGGAGAAACAGAGGCCCAGAGAAGATGAGATTTGCTTGTTGAGGCCCAGTGTTGCCCGCCTTGTGCCCCCGACACTCTGGAAGGGCCATGCTTGACCACCACGCTCCCCGGCACAGCAGTTGCTGCCCCAGGACCCTGAGATCCATTCTGGATTCTGCCACTCGGAATGTGAGTTCCTGGAAGACAAGAGCTACGTTGGGTTCGCATAGCGCAGGTGCTGTGCACAGCCCACGCCAGGGCACAAAGGCCTAATCGTGTGTCCTGGGTCCCCACGCTTCCCTACCTTCCCTTCTGCTTCCATCAATCTCACCTCCAACCTCCTCACAGAGGCAGAAAGAAGGAGAGGGCATTGACCACGACCAAGGCTACAGAACAGGCACGACAAGGAATGTCTGGGCTCTAGAAATCCAAGAAGCCCCACTGCCCAGCGCTACACTGAGGGCGCAGGGCTAAGACTGCTCTTTCTGTGCCGCCATAAGCCGTGTTCCTCAGGGTCAGGGGATCCTTTTCCAGGCAATCAGAGCCTTCTCTGACAGAAGGGGAGCACCAGGACCCCATATGGAGGGCACCCCAGGTGCTTGGCAAGGTTTAGTGTAATGGTTCTGAGCTCACACCCTAGAGCCAGACTGCCTGAGTCTGAATCCTGGTCCTGCCACTATGAACCTGGTGATGCTGGCAAGCCACTCCACCTCTGTGCCTGCTTCCCTGAGGGAATGTGGCTGTCAATCTGACCTACGTTTGGGGGTGTGGCAAGGATAAAACATGCTGATGTAGGTGATGGGATGCAATCAATGCCCGAGGTCATCTTTCACCGACCACCCCGACGCACCTCACTGCGTGTATGTAACAAGACCCAGAAAGAGCTCATCCTGGCCGGGTAGCTCAAGGCCAGGCCCCTACTTACTCCACGCCTCATCCTGGCCAGGCCCCTACTTACTCCACGCCTCATCCTGGCCAGGCCCCTACTTACTCTACGCCTCAGTCTCCCCCTGTGTGTGGAACTGGAGGCCTAGGATGGTCCCTCGCCAGGCCTACTTACTCCACGCCTCATCCTGGCCAGGCCCCTACTTACTCCACGCCTCAGTCTCCCCCTGTGTGTGGAACTGGAGGCCTAGGATGGTCCTCATCTAGATGGTGGATAGAAGAATGCAGAATATCATCTCCAATTAAAAGAAGGCAGGAGCCAGTGAAAAGTGCCACCTCCCCACTTCAGGGTCGTGTTCCCATAAATGCCTCCTGCCAACCAGGCCTCCCTTCTGACCCTCAGGGTAGTTGAGGCAGCACTGAGGAACAGCTGCAAATCATGTCACCCAAGCCCCTTCTCCGAGTCAAGGCGAAGCCTGGGCAGGTTTGGGGTTGGGGGAAGGTGGACTCAAGACGGTGTAGGCTTCTCAAAGGGAAGGCCAGAAGCCTCCCTAGGCCCACAGCAGGAAGGGAGCTGCCACGCCTGCTGTACAGGGACAATGCTCTTCAGTTGCCCAGAGCAGAGCTTCCTGGTTCCAATTCCCATGGTCAGGGCAGGAAGGGAGAGTAGGGAGAAGTAAGATTGTTTGAGCCCTTTCTGGCTGAGGTCCTAAAGAGATTGCTGTCCCTCACTGGGCCTATGTTATAGTGGTCTCCCACTTGTTTCCAGTCTGGACAGTTGATTTATCCAACTAAGCACAACTCTGGCCATGCCATGCCCTGTTCAAATACTTCAGTGATTCCTCATTACCTAAAGAGAAGGGACAGCAAATACACAGTAAATGTGCTACTGTCGTCCCCCACTACAGCCGTGACAGGCATTACTAGTCAATCCAGCACCTTCTCCACATCCTTCTCAACGGAGCCTTCCAACAGTGATGGCCAGTCCACTGCAGGGACACTCGGGTTAAACCCATTTTTCTGGACACCCAGTTAAAATGGGTTACGAACCACACAAGTTCACTTTTCCCTTCCAGACAGCCAACTAGAATGATAGTGAAGAACTTTTAAAAATGTGCTGCACCACAAAGGCGAAGAAAAGAGAGAAGAGGCCATAATGACAGAGAGTTCAACAAATCTGAGGAGACGGAAGGCGGACCAGAACTAGAATGGATTCTGTGGGGCAAAGGAAGCAAAAGGAATTACAACCTAAAAGTGCTCTCTGAGGGGTGACAGACAAGAAGTGAACTGATGTACTTCAGAGAAGCCCTGAGTGGCTTGGCACTAGAGGGACCAGGATAAAACACGAGGAGCTGATTGAAGACTGTATATAGGGTGAACATAGGGTGGGCAGGCCTCCAGGAGGACCTCTCCCACCCATTGGCAGAGGACGAAAGGGTAATAATCTTCAGAAATTAAACAGAG